ATAACTCAATGCAATGAAAGGTCATAAGACAAGTTAACTTATAAAATTTGGCCAAAAAGGCAACTCGAGTCTCAAAATAGAATGTTTACATATATACATAGATGAGAGACTCAATACTAACTGACTGACTGTCTATTAAGCCTCTAAAATATTGAGATGGATGTTGGGACAGACCTCGCAACATCCTAATAAGACAAAACTAGGAACACAAAATATATGAGTCCTCCGGAAAGCAAGGAGGCTCACCACTGACTCTGGAGTGCTTAGCTGGATCAATGACGTGCTGGATGCTGATCCTGGGTACCTGCGTCTGCATCTTAAAAAGATGCAGGCCAATTGGCATCAGTACATGGAATGTACGAGTATGCGAGCTGGACTGCTAAGCAACAACTTAAGCTTGAAAGGAATACAAAAGAGAACTTACCTTGGCTCTGTTCAACTCATGAATAACTGAACTCAATATAAAGCAATGAGACACATGTAATATATATAAAGCTTGCAAAACTATTTAAAACATGACGTAAAAATCATATTTATAATATCATGAAAATACCGTGTTTCCTCTCAAAGTCTACTTGTGCAATGCATGAATGAAGTCCCATACCCTTATCCATACTAAGCAGAACCCCTCGAGGAACCATGCAATTTCTACTGTGGGAGTTTTCTAACCGATAATCACCACTATGAGTCCAAGTGATGATACAACGTTTTACCTCACGTTGCCCGAGGACTATCCTATACCTTGCCGTGATATAGGACCTTACTTTAACTTTTGCTTAGTGGATCCGCTAGCTTAACTTTCGTGATCATCTAAAAAGTATGACCCGAGAAATCCCATGTTTGGCTATATGGTTCTTATGGAGAGTTGAGTTAATATGAACTTGTGTCCTCAATTCGGTGCTCAAGACTACTCCCAAAAATACTTTAGCTCATTAGTGTTTTAAACACATTTTTCTTTAGTTGAGATAATTACTCAAAACTTAGCCCAAAGGCTCTTGAAAACTCTTTCAAAAAAGAACATCTCAAAACCATATTTTAATATGATTATTGATGACTCGGGATATTCATACTGCTTAAACATTGATGGTAATCTAGAGACCATACTGTTTAAACATTGATGACATACTCGATTTGTCATACTAATCATATTTTAGAAACTCTTTCGCAAAACTCATTTTTTTCTTAAAAGAGATAATACTCAAAATGCTCCAAACTCTTTTGGAAATCTCAATTTCCTCTCATCTTAAATGTGAAAACATTTATAAACTTCTTTGGGAAATACTTAGTTCCCTAATAGCTTTTGAGAAATGAACTTGACTCTTACTCTTGGCTTAACTTGAAACTCTATGCTCTTGGCTTAACTTGAAACTCTATACCTAACTCGGAACTCTATACTTAACTTGAAACTTGAGACTCTTTACTTGACTTGAAACTCTATACTTAACTTGAAACTTAAGACTCTTGACTTAGCTTGAAAATCTATACTCTTAACTTGACTTGAAACTTGGACCTTAAAACGAAGTTAAAACATTCAATAACGACCTTTGAAAAGCTTTAAAGACTTGCTTCTTAACTTTGCTTGACTTGACTCTAACTTCTCTTTGACTTGATACTAACTCACCTTGAATTGGATTATGGATTCAAGGTATGTGATCACACGTTTATGGATGAGTTCTTGACATTTAAACGTACATTGTAGTGTCGGAAACAACTATGAAACATAGGTACAATACCAAGGAACATGCATAAGAAAGTTGGGAATGAATGGGAAAGGTTGGCGTCCTTGGCGCTCTGAGAGGCGCGGGGCGCCAGCCCTAAAACTTCAGAGGAGCCTGCTGGGCGCTTTGAGAGACGTGCCACGCCAAGGGGGAAACTTCAGAACCCCTGTTGGGGCGCGCTTGCTGGCGCGACGCCCCAGCCTTTTCCCCAAAAAATCGGACTCTTCTCCTTTATTTTTCCAACTCTAAACCTCCTTAACTTCAATGGTTCCAGCCCCAAACACTTAGAATCATAAACCCCTCAGCACACAATAGATTTCAACTCATAAACACAACCGGAAACAAGTCCCAAATCAACAAGAACTTCAACACAAACACAACCAACAACTTTAACAAATACAACCAACAACTTCAACAAACATAATCAATATTTTCTCAATAATAAAAATGAGTTTGGCGTGTGGGGGAAAGAACCAACCAACACTATGAACTCACATACCTAGTAGGGATCACCCCCGACGATATCCACGACGGAAACTTGCTTGATCTCCTCTTTCTCCTCTTCTTCTCTTCTTCACTCAAAACCCTCACTCTCACTCTTTTAAAATGGTAAAATTGATAAAAAAATAAATTAGTCTAACACATTTATATAACCAAAAGAATTGATTAGGGAAAAGACCAAAATGCCCTTAAAATTTCCGGACGGATTTCCCTGCCAACTGCCCAACTTCCAAAGGGCATAACTCACTTATACGAAGTCGGAATCGAGCAAACTCGGCGGCGTTGGAAAGATCATTCCACGAAATTTTCAACCATAACTTGAACTACTCCTAAATAATCCTGATCTAGGAGTTATGACTGCTCAAAGTTGGCCAAAAACTCACTTTTTTTCCACACTTAACAAATTTTCCAGATTTTTGAATTCCTTCTAAAAATGACTATTTTCGATTCTAAGCCTCTTCATAGTTATTTTAACTTACCGGATGTTACATGTACCTATGATTCTTGATGAATTACTAGCTAAGAAAGTTATTGATCTTCCTGAATCAAAGAGGCCTGAAGAAATCAATAAGGTTGGGGATCCTAGATACTGCAAGTTCCATCGTGTCCTTGGCCACCCGACGAGTAAATGCTTTATCTTGAAGGAGAAAATCATGATGTTAGTAAGTGAAGGAAAAATCATCATTGACCAGGATGAAACAACAGAGGCAAATCATGCTAGTGTAGCACCAAATCAAAAGAAGTGCTCAAGGTCCACTTTCTTGCAATTTGGAAGTTAATGCCTATTGAAGTTGATTTTCCAAGGAAAACTCTTGAGGGTTCACTAGAGATAGACAACCACAAATAAAATGAAGTTGATGGTTGGACTTTGGTTACTCATAAGAAGCGGAGACATCAAGAAGTCTTTAGGATACGACTTCCTAAGACAAGAGCAACAATGAGTGATGTGAATCAACTGCAACCATAAAAAAACGTCAAGCCTTGTACTAGCCAAAAGATTAATGGTTCTTCATCGCAGAAGGTTCGAAGGCCCATTACATTGGATGAATTCTTTCCTGATTTTTTTTTTGTGGTGGTCAAATTGGTGTAACACATGTTATTTCCAGCACAGACGAAACAAAGGGAAGCAAATGTGAGCGTAATCCAACAATAACACAAGAACATCAAACAGATGAAAAAGTTACCCCATGTTGTGCTACAATTGCCGTCACAGATGATGACTTGTTGTTAGGGTCTAAGCTACATAATAGGCCCTTGTTTGTTGTAGGGTCTATTCGAGAGCAACATCTCAATCGCATACTAATCGATGGTGGTTCGGCAATCAATATCATGTCAAAAGTTGTTCTGAAAAAACTTGGGATCTCTATTGATGAATTGTCCAAAAGTAACCTAACGATCCAAGGTTTCAATCAAGGAGGGCAACGATCCATACGAAAGATTCGCGTAGGATTGTCCATTGGCGACGTGAAATCAAACACTTTGATTCATATCATAGATGCCAAAACATCATACAACTTGTTGCTCGGACGTCCTTGGGTTCATGAAATAGAGTGGTGCCATCTACTTTGCATCAATGCATGAAGTATATAAAAGATGGTGAAGTAGTCAAAGTTGATGCAGACATCAATCCTTTCACTGAGACGGAGTCATATTTTGCAGGTGCAAAATTCTATTTAGATTCTGGAAAATCAAATACGGAGAAACATGCAGAAGCCGACTCGATTTGATCTCGAAGATAGTAAAGTTCAATGGGACGCTATCAAGATATCTAAGAAGAGAACGGAAGAGGTTTCCATTAATCTTTCACAGTCTAAAGGAGACATGCAGGCCAATGTTGATGATGAGCAACCAATTTTTCGCTATATTCCACGTGAACGTCGAAAAAAGGGACAACCACTGCTACAGGAATGTACTCAACAAGTTCACCCACCGAGGAAAGAATTGAGTCACACAACATTCCAAGATTTGAAGGAGAAAATGACTGTCCCAGTTACACAAGTCCCATCTTTCACTTTGGAGCCTTCCAAAGGAAATACCCAAGTTGGTCAGATAAAAGGGAACTTTGATCAAAAGGTCTTCACATTATTTGAAAAATCAGGTTACAACTTCTCAAATCCATCAAAGGTAGGAGAACTCACGGAGGAAGTCACCGGTGAAAAGATACATGGGCTTACAAAGTCTCAAATGCGGTTGAGAGAAAAAGGATATTATGTCGCCACTCCTAAGTTTGGGTTAGGATTCAGTTTGCCGGAGCCTCTTCTGATTTCATCTAAGAAGGGGAAAGCAATAACTTTATCTCACTACATCTCTATAGAGAAGACGAAGGAATCTAAGAAGGGTAAAACACCACAACGGGCTTCGGTGTTTGAACGCATTGGAAGATTGACACCCCGTGTCTCTGCATTTGAAAGATTGAGCTGCAAGGATGAAAGATGATCCTCTAAACAAGTGGACGAATATTCCACCACCTGAAAGACTTCTGTATTTCACCGCTTGGGAACTAAAAGAAAGTCATTATCCGAAAGAAGGTTGTTGGAGCATGAAAATCAAGATTCTTGTGATATAACTGATGACAAGGAGATTCATAGTGTTTTCTTATCATGTATAAAGAGAAAGACTGTATTGTCAATCACTACCGATGGTTCTTTGAAGGTGAAAAGAAGCACAATTGTTGTCACCAACCAGTTTCATGGAGAAACTAATAAAGAGGAAGATGAAACCGTCACAGTGGAAAGTCAGATGGAAGATTGAAACTTGACAGAATCATCCTATCACATAACAATGGAAGAAGGTTCAGACATTGATGATACAGATGATGATGTCCAAGAGGCTCCTCCTCAATTGGAGGATGGCGTACAATTAACCGTAGACGACCTCAAGGAACTAAATCTAGGCACTCTAGAAGATCCGCATCCAATCTTCATTAGTGCACTTCTTACACCAGAAAAAGAGAGGAAATACTTCAAGTTATTAGATGAGTTCAAAGACGTTTTTGCTTGGTCGTATAGAGAAATGCCGGGCCTTTGTCCCAGGATAGCTATTTATCATTTGGGGATAAAAAAAGAACACGTCCTATAAAACAGTCACAACGACTGTTTCGTCCTGAGTTGGTAACACAAATTGAAACGGAGGTCAACAAGCTCATCGAAGCTGGATTTATTCGAGAAGTGAAGTACCCGTTGTGGATCTCAAATATTGTACCTGTTAAGAAGAAGAATGGTCAAATACATGTCTGCGTTGATTTTCGAGATTTGAACAAGGCATGTCCAAAAGATGACTTCTCTCTGCCAATCATTGAGCTCATGGTTGATGCTACAACTGGGCACGAAGCTATGTCATTTATGGATGGATCTTCTGGATATAATCAAATCAGAATGTCTCTAAAAGATGAAGAATGTACTGCCTTCCGAACTCCAAAAGGAATTTATTGTTGCAAAGTGATGCCCTTTGGTCTAAAGAATGCTGGGGCCACCTATCAACGTGCAATGCAAAACATATTTGATGACATGCTTCATAAGAGGGTGGAATGTTACGTCGATGACTTGGTGGTAAAGACGAAGCAAAGGGAACACCATCTTGAAGACCTTCGAATTGTTTTGGAAAGGTTAAGAAAATTTGACTTGAAGATGGATCCACTCAAATGCGCATTTGGGGTTACCTCAGGAATTCATTGTGCGTCACCGTGGAATTGAAGTTGATCCCGCAAAGATTTATGCCATTCAAAAAATGCCTGAGCCAAAGAACTTGAGAGACCTCCGCAGTCTACAAGGAAATTTGGCATTCATTCAGAGATTCATTTCTAACCTAGCTGGACGATGTCAACCTTTCAACCATTTATTGAAGAAAGATGCTCTTTTCCATTGGGACCAATCATGTCGAAATGCCTTTGAAAGCATCAAGAGATACCTGATGAATTTGCCTGTATTAGGGGAACCAACACTTGGAAAGCCATTGATACTGTACATTGCATCGCAAGAGCGATCACTTGGGGCACTTCTTGCTCAAGAGAATGAAGCTAAGAAGGAACAAGCAATGTATTATCTGAGTCGAACCTTGATAGGAGCTGAGTTGAATTATACTCCCATTGAGAAAATGTGCTTAGCATTGCTTTATGCGATAAGAAAATTGAGGCATTATTTTGAAACGTACACTATCAAGCTAATTTCTCGGGCTGATCCCGTGAAGTTCGTAATGACTCGACCAGTTCTCTCAGGACATCTAGCAAGATGGTTTATATTTTTTAATCAATATGAGATCATTTACACACCTCAAAAGGCTGTGAAGGGGAAATCACTTGCTAATTTCCTTGCTGATCACCCTCTTCCGGGGAAATGGGAAACTTCAGATGAGTTCCCTGATGAAGATGTATTTCTTACTGAAGAGCTGCCAGCATGGACAATGTTCTTTGATGGATCTGCACGTCGAGATGGTGCAGGGGCGGGAGTCGTGTTGATATCTCCAGAACAACTAATCCTACCATTTTCATTTATTCAAGGTGAAACCTGTTCCAACAACGCTGCAGAGTACCAAGCTTTGATTGTGGGCCTTGAAATGGCATTAGATATGAAGATTCCTCAATTGGATGTCTATGGTGACTCTCAATTGATCATCAATCAACTCTCGGGGAGTTACGAGGTAAAGAAGGAAGATCTTTTGTCATATCACCAATATGCTACTTTCTTACTTGAAAGGTTTGATCAAGTGTTCTTAAATCACGTCCCAAGAGAAGAAAATTGCATGGCAGATGCTTTGGCTAACTTGGCTACAACAATGGCACTCGGAGAAAATGAGACAACAAAGGTGTGTGTATGTCATCAATGGGTTATTCCTGGTCGTCTTGATCTTTAAATCGATGAAAGCCCTCATATATCAGTTCGAGTGGTTGAAGAAGAAAATTGGAGAAAACCACTGGTTGAGTATCTTGAACATGGAAGACTGCCTGAGGATCCACGAGTAAGAGCAGACATTAAGAGAAGAGCACCACGATTCATCTTTCACGATGGGATACTGTTTCGTCGTTCTTATGAGGGACTATTTTTGCGGTGTCTTGACAAAGAAGAAGCTCAACAAACAATGGATGAGGCACATTCTGGCACATGTGGAGCACACCAATCAGGGCCTAAACTTCATTTTCGCATCAAGAGGATGGGCTACTATAGGCCAACATTGGTGATGGACTGCTTAGGGCATGCAAAAAAGTGTCAAGTGTGTCAATTCCATGCTAATTACATCCATCAATCTCCAGAGGTTTTGCATCCGACTGTAGCCTCATGGCCCTTCGATGCATGAGGACTTGATGTTGTTGGACCTCTTCCAAAGTCATCAAAAGGACAAATGTATATCTTGGCTGCCACTGACTATTTCTCTAGATGGGTTGAAGTTGTACCATTAAAAGAGGTAAAGAAGGAAAATGTTGTTGATTTTATCAAATCAAACATAATTTTTAGATATGGTATACCAAGATGTATAGTTACTGATAATGGAATACCCTTTAACAATAAACTCATGAATAGCTTGTGTGAGAGGTTCAATTTTAAGCAACATAAGTCTTCAATGTACAATGCACCTGCCAATGGTCTTGCTGAAGCTTTTAACAAGACACTTGGTAACCTGTTGAAGAAAGTAGTTGCAAAGAATAAAAGGGACTGGCATGAGAGAATTGGTGAAGCTTTGTGGGCATATCGTACAACCTTTAGAACAGTTACGCAAGCGACACCGCTTTCATTGGTGTATGGCATAGAAGCAGTCCTTCCATTGGAGAAGCAAATTTCATCATTACGAATAGCAATCCAAGAGGGACTCACAACTGAAAGTAACGCTCAACTTCGTCTAGCAGAGTTGGAGGCATTGTATGAAAAGAGATTGGAAGCACAACAAAGGTTGGAGTGTTATCAAGCTCGACTTGCAAGAGCATTCAACAAGAAGGTGAGATCTCGATCATTTCAAGTGGGAGACTTGGTCTTAGCAGTCCGGAGACCCATAATCCTCAACAAACGCATTGGTGATAAATTTACATCGAAATGGAATGAACCGTATGTTGTGAAGGAAACATATTCAAGTGGCGCTTATAAATTGTAGACCAAGATGGTATAAGAGTTGGTCCAATCAATGCCAAGTTTCTGAAGCTATACTTCCCATGAAGGTTGGCTACGCTCCTTAAGGTATGAGTATAAACTGCATGTTACTCCTGGCCCGTAAGAGTATAAACTGTGTACGACCCAAAAAAAAATAAAAAAAAATAAAACTCATCATCCTGAACTACGATATGACTTGATTCTCTTCACCGAGGTACGTAGGCGCTTGGAGTAATCACTCTAAGCTCAGTCAAATAAGTAAAAAAAAAAAAAGTTTGGTGGCATTGCGTGATTATCACACTAGCTCTTTAAATTTTTGTAGCTAGCACATGAGTTCAAATGCGTCACAAATGAGCAAAGGAGAAGATTTTTGGAGCCTACTTCCCAACATGAAAATCGGCTCGTGATTCAGATATTTCTTCGCTAACTTGTGAATTTTCTACCACGGCCACTCAAAGCTGAAAAAATAATAATATTATATTTTGGAGTTGATCTGAGCATTTCAAAGGCCTATTAGTGGGAATTCATAAAGATCTTGATCATCATTGTTACACACATTGAAGTTCTTGAATCCCTCTCCGCAACAAAATAAGAAGCTCGTAATACTGAGACTCCTACATCGAGTCATGGATCTTCAATTGTGATCGTTCAAAGTTGCATATCAAGCATGCTAAATTTGGAACTCAACTTCGGGTATTAATCTGATCAATTCAAAGGAATTTTGATTTGAATCATTGATATGCGACAGGCCGAGGAATTCATTGGATCAAGCGACTTGCGATTCTACTTGAATTTTTTGCTTATGGTGGAGATAATTTTGTGTAATTCACTGATGCTTCAGTAAGTTACTCAAAATTAGGGGCATCTTTACTATAACATCAAATCGGGATATTCTTCGGATCAAAGCTCTATGTTGAAATGGTATAGCCACAAAGATCATGATGTGAACACTCCAAGTTCAAGAGACAATCTTTTGTTGTTGTCAAGAGCGCACAAAGTTGAGGAAATGGCATTTTGGGCGTATAGTCAACTTGAAAAATTTATTCTCATCAATTTGGAATGAATTTTGTTGTAACTTCAATAAATAGTGTTTTGCTTGATGCTCTCGTCAAAATGAAATAAGAAGCTCATGGTGTCACCACTCTTACAATGAATTTTGGATTTCACACCGAAGATGCGCTCCTCAAAATGAAATAAGAATCACATAGTTTCAGAATTCAAGCTAACTTTGAAAATATATTTGTATAAATCTGGAGATCTTTTGACCATGATTTTTATAAATGTTGTTTTTCTATAAGTTATGCTTCCCACAGAAAAAGGATCGCATCATTCTGAGGCTCCTACGCCGAATTGTTGACTTTCTCCCAAAGTTGTTCAAAGCTGAAGAGTTTAGCGAGGCAGAATTTGAGCTGACTTTGAAAATATATCTGTGCTAATCTGGAAACTTTTGGCTGTGATTTTTACATATGTTGTACGTCTATGATTTATGCTTCCAACGGAATAAGAATCACATCATTTCAAGGCTCCTACGCCGAGCTATTGATTTTCTCTCAAAATTGCTCAAAGCTGAAGAGTTCAGGGAGACAGAATTCGAGCTAACTTTGAAAATATATCTGTACTAATCTCGAAAGCTTTAGGACGTGATTTTTATAAATGTTGTACGTCTATGAGTTATGCTTCCAAAGGAACAAGAATCGCATCATTTCGAGGCTCCTACGCCGAGTTATTGATTTTCTCCCAAAGTCGCTCGAAGCTGAAGAGTTGAGCGAGGCAGAATTTAAGTTGACTTTAAAAATACATCTGTACTAATCTGGAGATCTTTTAGCCATGATTTTTACACATGTTGTATTTCTATGAGTTATGCTATTTCGATGATCCCACATCGAGTTATTGGTTTCCTACTGCAGGTGCTCAAAACTGAAAAGTCGGTCATGGCAGCATTCGAGCTAACTTTGGAATAATAGTCGTACTAACCTGGAAATCTTTCGGTCATGAGTTTCACATATATTGTATTGGTGTGAGTTATCTTTCCAATGAAATCACATCATTTCAAGGCTTTTACGCCGAGCTATTGATTTTCTCCCAAAATTGCTCAAAGCTGAAGAGTTCAGGGAGACAGAATTCGAGCTAACTTTGAAAATATATCTGTACTAATCTCGAAAGCTTTAGGACGTGATTTTTATAAATGTTGTACGTCTATGAGTTATGTTTCCAAAGGAACAAAAATCGCATCATTTCGAGGCTCCTACGCCGAGTTATTGATTTTCTCCCAAAGTCGCTCGAAGCTGAAGAGTTGAGCGAGGCAGAATTTAAGTTGACTTGAAAAATACATCTGTACTAATCTGGAGATCTTTTAGCCATGATTTTTACCTATGTTGTATTTCTATGAGTTATGCTTCCAAAGAAAGAAGAGTCATGTTATTTCGATGCTCCCACATCGAGTTATTGGTTTCCTACTGCAGGTGCTCAAAGCTGAAAAGTCGGTCAAAGCAACATTCGAGCTAACTTTGGAATAATAGTCGTACTAACCTGGAAATCTTTCGGTCATGAGTTTCACATATATTGTATTGGTGTGAGTTATCTTTCCAATGAAATGAAACACTCGCTATTTGAATGTTCCTACTACGAGTTATTGAATTTCAAACATAAGAGCTCAAAGCTGAAATCTTGGGGAAAGTTGTCCGTAATATAGAGTAAGTTACAAATCACACGACAGTCGTTTGAAATAGAGAAATAAAAGAAGGCATTTAAGAAAAAAAAAATACAACACTTTTATTCATTCAAGAAGGACTGTCACTACATCATAGCAATGTTCCAGAAAACAAACAAGACAAAAAAAAAAAAAGATACACAATAGAACAAGAAAATGAAAGAGAATATCCTTATGCAGGAAGAAGACTAAGGAAAAAGCTCATGACCTCATTTGCGGTATCAAGACATTGTTGTGCAGTAGAAAGAAACTCTTGATGAGAATCCCTTGTTATCTTTTGAGAAGTGGACAGCCTTGCAGCATCGTAATCTCTATGTTTCTTGAAAAAATCTTCAAGAAGAACCTCTAAAGGGGAAAGGTTGATGATGTTAACTTCTCGAAGCCCTTTAAGAATCATGGCAACACCTGCCTCCAACTCTTTGAGGTTCTCTGAAGATTCAACAGAGAATTGAGTAATACACTCACATAAGGTACGCCACATTCCAGAAATGTAAGATAAGTTGAAGCTAGAAATAGTCTTTTGTGGTTCAAAATTAGAGGCAATTCCCAGCAAAGGGCGGACCAAATCCTTGGAAACATCTGAACAACCAATTTGAGAAGTTTCAACAACCTCCACATTAGTAGTTGAGATATTTTGAGAAGTTTCAACCTTTTCAGAAAAAGGGACTGTCGGCTTTGACAGTTGAATCTCTTTTGCAGCTTGACTCTTAACTTTGACAAGAGGGAGGTGAGGATTTTTCGCCACATTGAGGGAATTCGAGCTTATGATACAATCTTCAAATACATCTACATCGCTAGGAATGTCCCCAAGACCCAACTGGATAATTAAAAAAAAAAATTAATATCTAATGATTAAATAAAAAAGGGGCAGGCAAGTTTAGAGAAATATTCAAGAGATGACTTTTACCTGATGTGCCAATTCTGTCAAGGGCATTGTAGAACCAGCAGCACCATCTTCAAAGATTGCAATATCAATACTAATGGAATCCAATTCAGCGAACTCACATTGTTGAGTGTTCAAGTCCTTAGGCTTTTTCTTCAAACGCTTCCAGTGTAACTCTTGGCTAACAATGCTCTCATTGGAGCACGAGGCTGCACTAGTACTAATGTCAATCTCATGGAGTGAAATAGACGTTTTTGACGTGTTGCTACAAAATGGTGCAATGCTGAGTGACTTTACAACACCTTTCTCCGATGAGCTGGAAGTTTCTTCCTCTTGAGAGTTACATCGATCACCTCTTTATCAGTGAGGCTGGCAGCCTTAGGAGTCTGTAAAGGACCCTTAACTCCGTTATCCACATGTGTAGCCTTTCCCTTCGAACTTTTAGACTTGGAAACAACTCTGACAGATTGCAGAGGGATATTTGGTGTCACATTGGACTTTAAAGAGTGAGGAAGCTTTTCTTGAAGTTGTTCTCCTTTGGTTGGTAAAGAAACATCATTTTTTTTCGGACCTCTCAAAATTATGTGGGTACTTCGTCTCAGTAGAATCTCTCGATGGGATG